GTTTCTTTCCCCTTAAGCCAGATGGAGGGGCCAGACCTGGGGAAGGACTTGGGAATATCCACAGCTCATATTCCCTGTGCTGCTTTTCAGGGATATCCACTCACTCCCATGAGGGTCCCAAAGGAGCATCCCTGCTTCTCCTGCATCCTTCAGGGCTGAGCCACTGGTTGAAGTCCACTCACCATCTCTTTGCTGGTCCTCTGCCTTCCAGGGGGATGAGCACTGGGAGGACCACCAGACACAGTGGCTGGCTGCTGGGGTCAGGGCTGCACAAGGAGAGTGGGGTCCAAGTTAGTGGACTGCATACGCTGAGCTCGTGAAAAGCAACTGTTTTCCCTCATAGACTGGTTTGTGTTGAAAGGGACCTTAGAGCTCATCCAGTTCCACCCCCCCGCCATGGGCAGGGACACGTTCCACTAGAGCAGGCTGCTCCAAGCCCCATCCAACCCGACCTTGAACACTGCCAAGAATGGGGCAGTCACAGTTTCTCTGGGCCAGTGCCTCAGCACCCTCACAGGGAAGAATTTCCTAAGATCTCATCCCAACATCCCTTCTGTCAGGTTAAAGCCATTCCCCCTTGTCCTGTCATTACACACCTCTCCAGATTTCTTGTTGGCCCCTTTAGATACTGGAAGGCTGATATAGGGTCTCCTGGAACCCTCTCTTCTCCAGCCTCATGTCAGTGTATTTCTGCTGTGAGTTCCAGCCAGCTCAGCTGCAGCCACACTAACAAGGGTGGGCTGACACAGATTTTTACGGGGTCAGCTCAGAGTGGCAGGAAAAAGCATTACCTCTTAGTTGTACTCCTCAGCCAGCCATTGATCCACATTATCCAGACAGCCCTTTCCATTCATCTCTACTTAAAGTGCCTGTGTAGGTGAACCTCCAGGAAACCAGCTTTAAAAATGGGGAGCATTTACACCTGGCTGCACTTCTGAGTATATCAGTAAATCAGGCTGATAGGAAATTCATATTGCATTTAGAAAAAGGTTTGCTAGATAATAGTAATGGTTTTGTCTCTTGTCCAGAGGTTGATTTATACTATTGAAACCACCTTTCACTGAAGGTCTTTGCTGAATCCTGCCACTGTTGCCCAAAGGGAATATGAGTGTTTCCATTTGAAGATACCATTTTGATTTATGGCTTTCATATATATCCCTTTTCTCCCCCAGCACTTCACGTGCTGAACCTTTGCGATCTTGTGACAGTCACTTTATTCCTGATATAACCCTACAGAAGAAAGCTGGGTCATCTTGGTGACACAGAGAGGGACTCATCAGGGTGAGTGGGCTATAAATGACTTTTTAGCTGAACACAGGTCACAAGTTTTCCTCACACAACTAAATCATGTTATTTCCCAGAGCAAAAATCCAGGAACCAGATTTCTGCACTTTTCTAATCATATGGAGGATCTTGAAAGGAAAACTTCATTTTCTATGAACTCCCCCACTTATTTATAGCTGCTTGTAATATAAAAGAAAACAATGGCACTATTGTTGATGCCTTTATTATAAATAAGTAAAAATGCAAGCCAAATTTAGACACAAATTCAGCTATTCTGCTTGCATTCCTGCAAAAAATTTCTGTCTACCCAAAGGAAAAAAAATCAAGCACTTTGATGAGGAACATGTCTATTTGCACTGAAAGATTGTCACAAACCTCCTCAGTATGAATAATCTTCATAGGGGTTGCTCCCTATAAGAAGACCATCTATAAGATCAGCTCAAAAAAAGCATTAAATAGAAAAAAAGGTTCTTTAATTCGAGATAGTGACAATACTCAGGCCAATGACTGCTTGTGATTGTTGTCAGCATTCAAGTATCATAAAAACAAAATACATGCAATATTTGCATTTGTTATAGAGTGATATTTTTATCTTTGGCTCTTGGTAATATGAGAATTGATATCTGAATTTATAATCACCAGAAACTCCCTCTATAAAAATATAATCAGAGGCTGTGCAGTTGCTATCTATAGTTCAATCTATATATATGTGATACATCACTTACATTACTGAGACACTGTTGCATGGAAAGACTCAAGGGCTTCTAGCCTTAGTAGCAGTGCTCGGATGCTATAACTACCTGCTCTGGCACCAGATGAGTCAGATCCTGCCTGTACCCATCTCTTCAAAAGGCTCTTCCCGAAGTCAATGGGACATTTGCCTGATTCACAGAGAAAAGTCAGGCTTTCGGTTATCTTGGAATTACACAGGCTCAGACTCATTTCCTCCAGGATCACAACTGCCTGATTAAAAGTCTGCAGCTGGGAATTTGGAAGTCTCTGTTCTGTTCCCTTATCAGTTACATCCCCTGTGATCAAGGGATGGGTAGACCTATTAGCAGCAGCCTCCAAGCAGCACCCAGGGCAAAGGGGCTGTGCATACAGTTGATCAGTGGGCTTGAAAATTAGGTGTTTCAGTATCCTCGGGGCAAAGCTGATGGAAATGCTTTTGCAGTGGGGTTTCTGTACTTACTCAACAGTTTGCAAGATGATTTTACACTATTGTTGTTAGCTGGACAGCAAAAGATGATGATTCTCCCATTACCTTCATATTAAATTAGGAGTTAGCCACCTAGAAGGAAAGAGAAAGACCTACAGAGGAGAATGCCTGTTCAGGAAACAGACTTATGCACAGAATGACTTGGACATGTATCATACTAAAAGCTCAGCAGTATTTCATTGGAACTCTCTCTTCAGAAATAGGAAAGCTCATTGAACAAATGGCTCTGAAAAGCCTCCTGCTGACAATGGAGAAAATGCTACCAAGAATCAAAGTCTTAGCAGGAGAAAGCAGAAGACTTTTTGTCCCGCCTTACCTCTACATTACAGACACTTGCACTGATGAAAGAACTCTTATGTCTTTGGCTGACTTGAGTGGAACGAGAAATCTTCAATTTTTCAGATTATTTTCCTCCTTCAAATCACTTGAAATGATCAAAGGAAGAAGGATGTGAATCCATGAAGGGAACTGGTGATTTAACAGCAAACTTCTTTACTCAGAGTCTTAACAGTAGAGAACAGCTTCGGCTGACCAAGAATATTCTGTTTAGCTTTGGTTTTCCACCACCCATGTAGGACATACTTGGAAGAGCTCTAGAGCAGCTGTCCTGCCAAAGAGGGTGAAATGCTGTAAGATGATCAGGTACTAGGCAAGGGCTTGTCCCAGTGTGCTGCTAGTGAAATGATATCAAAGCAGTCTCTGGGCTTTCTTTGAAGGGTGGGTCACTGCTGCTACTTTTGCTTCATTCCTGCAGGCAAAAGAACTTAATGGTAGAAGATGAGGCATGCAGACACGCTGCATCTTTTAAGCTGTATTTGTACATGCAGAGCACTGTAGTCCTCTCCATGCCACCTGCAAACTTCAACGCCATAGGATACTGAAATCATTATTCTTGTAAGAGAAGGGGAACAGGTATAACAGTGAAAGGGCTTTTAATACCATGCAATCCACAAAACTTTCCAGTAGCTTTGGAGAGGAAAAGTATCTGCAAATGGATAGCCACAGGCAGTGACACACTGGGAAGCACTCTTGAATATCTTTTGACTTGTACAGCAGCAGGAGGAAAACAAACTGTTTGGAAAATCTGCATTTGATTTGTTTTTCAAGCTGGGAAGCATGTGAGGTGATTTTTCATTTAGATCATGGTAAACAGTAGAGAAAGAAGAAAAGAATTATAAGAGAGTAGAGTATGTCTCTCTCATGTCTCAAGTACCCTTTGCCCTGTTGTGAATCAGGTTTGCAGGAGGGCACACACCAAGGGACTGGCCCTGACTACAGCTCTCTTCACACACTGCAAGAAGAGAAATAACATCCAAGATACTTGGCAATTCAGGAATCTGCATTTAGGAGATAAGTTCAAAAGTGGTCTGTAAATGACCTAGAAATGGGAGCTAAAACCTTCTTCTATCAACAGAGAATTCCCCCATGGAGGGGTGCCAGAGCATGCTAAGGAATGGTTCATAGGAAGGCAGGTTTAGGTGGGTAGTTCACTGAGCTACAAGCACCAGCAAGTTCACAACAAGAAGAGGGTACAGCCATGCAGCTCTGAGGCACCTCCTTTAAACCACTGCTGGACATCCCCATATAGGAGGAAGTAAATTTGCATTATCCATGGCAAGCAGCCATTCTAGGTTCTGGTGCATTGAAATATGTCTTCTATCCTACTACATAGGGTATAAAAAGAAAAATGGGAGAAGGAGAAAGTTAGATCTAGAGAATAATCCCAGAAGCAGCTGTTTTATACCCTGAAACATACTTTGTGTAGGAATTGGTCCATTTGCCCACATGCATTCCTGCAGGCCAGATCAGCTTTCACTGAGAAGATAATTTAGGCAGAACACACATTTTCTACTATTTATAAGACTTCCCTTTTAATGGTTCATCTGCATTGCAGATACAGTGGGACCAGGGGGCTGTTCACAGCACAGTTGCAATATGTAGGGTAGACAGGATTCACTCACGCCTTCTTTACCTACAAAATGCAGCAGTTCTCAAATGAGAGGTTTTGATCTTGGACTTGGAAAACAGAGTTATGAACCCACAGAAGCAGAAAAGCATAAAAAGGCTGATACGAGACTGAAAACTTAAAATGCAAAGAACCCAGATTATATCTACTTTACATTGGCTTAGGGCTATGTTTGGAAGCATGTGGAAATTTCACCTGTACCTCTATCAACAATGCAATCCCAATGGACATAGGGGGCCTAAGCCTCAAAACGTAAACAGATCATCAGATTCTTCAAAATGACCTGCGCAGCTTGCTCAAGTGAGATGGGTTTTCCATTGAACACACTGACTGAAAAGACAATGTTGAGGAAAACATTTATTTCCCATTCTAAAATATAACTGTGGATTGTAATGTTTTAAAAATTACAATTCTTGCAACAACTTTAATTCCTCTTCCTCATCGCTGTCAGTTATACTGACTATGCGGATGCTGGAGGAACTAGATGGAGTGGCTGAGAAAAGCTCCTCCAGTCCTCCAACACCCAGCTGTGGTACGGGCCTTACAACCTGCCCCTCATTCCAGTTGCTGTGAGAGGATACTGCTTCAAGGCGCACACAGATGTGTTGGTTCTCACGTGTGCCTTCTTCTGGGTGTTCCTTGGAAGGATAGGCTCCCTCCAGAGCTGGAAACATCAATTCCTGCCTTTGGTACTTGTCTTCAGAAAAGCCAAAGCATTCAGGCACTGAGTTGGGGAAATTCGCACGGCCAAATGGGGGACGGCTGAATGAGCATGTGCTGCAATTAGAGAGATTGAAAGTTGGCTTCAGAAAGGCAGATTGCTGTTCAGCTGCGAAAAACAGAATGACACTAATGTTCTCTGCTAGCCAGCTTTCCCTGTTGAAATATTCAGAACGCATACTTCAAAACCTTGCCTAATTTAAACACTAGGGCCCATAACAAGAGTTGTGCACAAATTCTGTATCTGTGCATGTGCACCCCTTCATGCTAGATACATGCATGATGTTGCTTTGAAAACAAACTCAAACCCCAATGTATTTATGAATGAAATAACACCACAGATAAACTAGCATCTGGTCAGCCTGCAGTATGTTAACCAGTATGCCCAAAACAGCAAAAAAAAAGGCACCAAAAGTCAGTTCGTGTTATTTCTCTATGCCAAAATCTGTGACAGACATTGGGTAAAACACTGTTACTTATTTTTTGAAGCAAACTCTTGCATCTGCTACACTCTTATTAAATAGGAGGACTGACAGAGGATCCTTGTGGTTGTCAATGTTACTGTTTGGAGAATGTACAGTTATAAACAGCGTAGATGTTCTAAAGATGTTGGTACAATGTCTGTTGAGGCCTAGGGGAAATGATACATCTTTCCAGTCTAATCTTTAAATTCTTAGTGCAAAAATCTGCATACATGCATTTGCACTGTCAGGGCTACTCATAAATTATGAGTCTTGTATGCGAGAAATGTGTTTATAGGAATGTGAAATTATGAATCATTGTATTAGAAAGATCCTGGTATAAGCAAAGCTGGCAGCCTTCTGAAGCCTGCTAATGTGTGAACTCAGAGCAGTCTTTTATGGTACAAGAACACTCCTCTCCTTCAGAGGCTTCACAAAACTGTAATTCCAGAGACCAAGGGCTAAGCAAAGTTCATCTTGAGCAATTTTGGGAATATGTGTCCTGTATTTCTTTAAAGGACATCTTGTATTTCCAATGTCTTTAAGGTTTGATAGGTCATCAGCCTTAATTTCTGACTGGGTAACTTACTGCTCTAGGAAAATACTGGTTGCTGCTATTAGTATGAATGAGCAGTGTATAAACAGGCATAACTTCAGTCTAATTGTCATAATAATTTGTTATGTTTGATATTGCATAGTCCTGAAATAAAAATGATGCCTTACAAAGAATAAGCACCAGTAGGCCATCAGTCGACTTGTGTTGGAGCAGCACACCTGCTGCTGGGAGGGCATTGGTGCCTTCTGATCATGCTTAGCTTAGGAAATACCCACAGAATATTACATGTGTTAGCTTGTAAATTCTCAGATTAGGTGATTTCTGACTAACTGCCCAGAGACTTGAAAATAAAAAAAAACCAAACAGGTATTACTACTTATATAAGAATTCTGGAGATATTTCCCACCAGGCTGGGATTCAGAAATATTGGTAGTTATGCCAGCCCCAATGATAGTACCAGGAGACATCTCACACACCTACTGTAATTCTATCTGATCAGTTTCTAAATATAGGTACACTACCTAATGCTTTTCAGTGGAAATCAACTGCACTTAGATGCATAAAGTGGAAAGCAGATACTTCTATTTACTGTGGGTCCGTCAGTGCCGATTACTGCAACAGTACTATGGAGCCTTCAGGAACTGGGCATAAATTACGAGCAGCCTCCCACCACACAGGAGGGATAGGAAACTAAGAGCACCTTTCCTGCTGAAGGCACCATCTGCTTTCTCTAAGTCAAAAGACTGCCTTTTAGTATTTGTTCTTACTGGTATTGTAGTGAAAGGTTTCATTACCTTGATGGGAAATAGTGAGGTCCAGGTACAATGCAAGAGTGGCAAAATGGAAACCGAAGAGGTACTCCAAACAGACCAGCTGGCTGAGCAATGTCATAGACATGTGAGTGGAGAAAAGGGGTAGCCTGGGGAAGAGGTAAACCTCTAGGGAAAATAGAAACTCCTGGGTACTCCCTGGGGGGCTCACTATTAGAGGCAGAAAATCTGCCATTAGTGTTGGCTATGTTACTTGGGTTTCCACTGAAGCTCTCAATAAAAACTGGTGCAGATGTCTTCAGAGAGCAATTGAGCCCAGATGACGCATCAAGAGCTTCTGTCTTAGCAGGTTGAGCAAAGCGCTGTGGTGAAATTACAGGGGGCAGGGGCAGGGCTGGAGCTGGAACAGCCACTGATGCAGTGTTTGCACTAGTAGTCTGGAAAAGAGTAATTGGACCAGCAGGTTGAATGGAAGAAGCTGGCAGACGTATGGCCGGAGGCTCACCTTTAGGAAACAGAACAGTTATTTATCAGACATGAACAGAGGAAGTAATTTCACAAACGGCAGTATAGCAAACCACAGGCAGAGCCAGATCCATTTTCCCCAAAACACGTCCTAGCATTACTTTGTTGCAACTCACTGTCATACGCTACTTGGAGCTCAGACAAGCCAACCTTTCACAGAAACCCAAGGGTGAAAGAAGGAATTGGTTAGTGAGTGTTGAGGATATGAGGCTGGTGAGGTCTCTGTCATGTCCTGATATGGTCACAGAATGGGACTGGAGTGTGTTTTTAGTGTCTGAAGCACAGAAACCTCCCAGATCTACTTGCTTCCTTTGAGTGAGCCAAATTCCTAACAAATATTTGTGGTGCCAAAGCAGCAATGAGAAGCAAAAGCAACAGTTAAAACACCCTACTCTCCAATATGCTTGCTTTCTTGTTTCACCAGCACAGTACCCACTAGCCAATTTCACTTTTAAATGTTTTGCAGTACACTTGAATGTACACTTTCAAATCACACCTCCTGTCAACAGAGCTGCCTTTATACAAAAGATTGCAAAACACATTGTATACTTATTTTCAAAGCCCACTACCTAGTTTAAGAGTCTAAATTCCAAGTCAACAGGACTTAGATGCATCTAGATCTTTACAGCTTGTATTTAAGAATAATTTCAATCACAATAGGATAGTAAACTCTGGAATGATACATAGTAGCATCGGAGGACAGCATAACGTTGTAAAATATACCAGGGTAAGAAAATTAGTACTTTATTCAGTCAAATTTACAGAAGAGTTTGAGAACGGATCACATCATTAACTCAGAACTTCACCTAAACAAATCTGAGTGTTCTCTTTTACATCTCTGAATATTACCACACAGTGTAAACAGGCATTTCATTTTCTTGTCTCATCGTAAAGGGAGCAGCCCTTGTCAGTATGCTTAAAAATGCCATTAAGCTATTGGTTGCTGAAATCCACTATTCATATACTGAGCCAGACTTCCTACACTACAAAATGAGCAGGTCAGCTATTACACAGGACTGTTGGCTCTCATACTATATCCTATTTCACTGCCCATATTGATGTCTTATCAAAATCCTTCCAGGCTAGGTGCAATTTTTCAATATATTCCTTCTCTAATTCTATTTTTGTTTGTATAAAGCTGAGCTCAAACTGTGAGCATGTGCAAGTCCATAACACCTACATGCAGAACTGGTGTGCCTAGATAGCTAAGTAACTTGCTCATGGAAAACGTACCAATGAAAACTTTCTTTTTCAGATTTAGTGACTGCTTTATCATTTCAGCACACACCTTACTAACACCCTACTAGCATCCTTTTGGATGTCCTTGTTGACAGTTCTGTCTGCTCTCTCTTGTAAGCAGCCTAAGTTGCGGAGCATTTGCTCTAGAGCAATGTTGCCCTCACTATGAAGAAACATTAAAACCAGGGTGGAGGTGCCATGGACTGAGCTAATGGGCTGTTTTAGAAGTGGTAGGACAGGGTTGAGCACTAGTGCAGTTAGAGCTGCTGAGGTAAGACATGTGAGGTAGAGACAGGACAAGAAAAGGAAACAGCTGTAGCTTGACAGAAAGCAAGTGTTGAGTAACAGATATCCAAAAAGACTGAGAGGGAGGGAACCAGAGCTACAAATACAATAGCAGTGATCTGTGGGCAATGAAAAAGCCAGAAGGATTTAAAAGGCTGAGGAAACAGTAGGTAGAGATGGGGAGATGGAGACGCAGTGCAGAGGACTGATAGAACTAGTGGTGTCAAGAAAGACCAAGAAATTGTTTTAAGTACATCTACACTACTACATACATAACTTTTATTACAATAGGTAAATTCTGAATTTTTAAAATCATTCACTACTGAAAACTCACAGACTGGATATCCAATGCTGTTCTTAACATTGGGGATGACAACAGAGTAAGCAGGTGACTGGATGGGACAAATGCCAGCTGGATTTGTAGTGATGACACTCTGAGAAACACCGGGAAATATAGCAGAGACAGGCAGTGCAAAACGCTTCCTTTTGCTTGGTCGTGGTTGATAAACCCAATCTGTCAGAGATGAAAAAAGACACAGATGTCCCATTTTTTTGATGGTCTCATTCTTTACATGAAGTTATGGGATCTGCAATTCTAAAATATATAAAAAAAGAAAGAGTCCCAAAGTGTCTCCTATAGTCAATGGCAATACCCCATTTGTTTCAGTGACCCAGCAAATGGGCATTTTATCAGAGGTGGAAATAAAATTGACATATTTGGGCATTGGCTTTATATTACTAAATAGTAACTGTGAGACAAAGAAAAGCAGAACAATGGAGAGTGACATGGCCTTGCTGAGGGAAGCACGTTAAGGAGAACATGATACTGTATTACGGGCTTTTGGTGTGAAAATAAACTATGACTGTATCTGAGACATTGGGAAAGATTCTTCACTATGAGGGTGATGAGGCACTGGAACAGGTTTCCCAGAGAAATTGTGGATTCCCCATTCCTGGAAATGTTCAAGGTGAGGTTGGACAAGGGTTTGAGCAACCTGGTCTAGTGAAAGGTGTCCCTGCCTGTGCCAGGGGGTTGGAACTAGATGATCCTTAAGGTCTTTTCCAACCCACACCGTTCTGTGATTCTATTAAAAATGTAGATCTCTCCTGATTGCTTCATTAACCCATTAAGTCTCACACATACCTGCAGTTTACAAGAGACAGTGGAAAATATGACATATTAGGAACCCTGTACAGATTTTGGAGGAGTACATTTGGCTTTACCTTACAAGATTAACCAAACACTAAGTGATGTATATTATGTATATATATGAGATGTATATTATGTATATATATGTATATATGAGAGATGTATATTATGAATTTACACTGAGCAGCTTGGGTTCTTGCATAGTCTAACCCTTAATGCCACTTTAAAGAAGCCCTTTTTTCTTTTGAAGGGTGCAATGAGAAGGGGATGAGAGAGACTTTTATCTTTTCCTTGTTTATGACAGATTAGTCAGATGTTATCTGCCCAGATTAGCCATAATCATGAACTAGCAGGATTAAGACAACAGAGAGAGAAAGGATCACAACACTTGGTATCTCAACAGCTTTTAAAAAGAGTGTTCAAAGTACTTTTGCTGTTTTACTGAACTGCAGCATTACGGAGAAAGGGATTTGTGAAGGGTACAAATTTTTAACCTTTTTGATGAAAGGTTGAGAAACAACATCTTCCACACCATTATTTGGGAATCCCAAGTCTACACATGGAAGAATCCCACAGAATATACAATGCTGTTTGTGCTTCCTGTGGCATTTCCTTTTCCTGCTTTTAAGGAATGGATGCATGTGTCACCACAGGCCACCTGGGCAACTCTTTCTGGAGGACATGAAATGATGCAGCAGGCCATGCTCACAATAAACTCACTATCTGGCTATTAGACTACTAAAACATTCAGGAAAGCTGCTGTAGCTGTGGTTAGAGGCTATGAAGGGTGAAACATCATTTTGGATGCTGTAAAGAATTAATGTGCTTTCATGCACTAGAAAGCTGACATGAGGACTGCATGTTTGAAACTTTTGTCATCATTTTCTATTACTTGCTCTAATGAAAGAGATACACTTCTCAAAATATCTCGCACTTCTGAAGCATTCAGGTAAATAAAAGACTTGTTACTTGTTTACCAGGAAATTCCTCTCTGTGCCTTTGTTTTATTTTATGAGCTTCATCATAATAGGGCTGCTTCTGCTCTTCAGTCAGTTTGCTCCACTCCAATCCAAGCTGAACACTGATATCTGCATTGTTGGCAGTTGGGTTAGCTTTTGCTAGGACGGGGCGATGAATCCTTGCCCATACCATAAATGCATTCATTGGACGCTTCACGTGGCCATTTTTGTCCTTGCTAAATGGAGTGTCTGGCATACCTGTGCAACAGAATAAGGAAAGAGGATCATCTGCCATGCAATATATGCATACAGGTTACATTCAATAGTGCATAAAGAGGATATTTGGCACCAACCAGAAGAATCACTGGAGCTTTGGAATACATAAAGCTCAATGCATATTTGGAGAGCAGTTCCTAGAAAAATAACTAAGGGTAAGGGAGTGCTCTTCACTGACCTCCACTGAACCACTGCCCAAGGAATCACTTACCTGGCTTTTGTTAAATAGTATTAAATAAAAAGACAGAAAAAGCCCAAAAGCAGCATACGGGACTGCAAACACCCTGCTTTGGGTTTCATTTGGCTAGATTGTTTTGTTATGAATTTGTAAACTAAACATTGTATAGTGCAGATCATGTCACTGCAAATTTGCCTTCTCCGCTAGACCTACATACCCAAAACCCTAGGGAAGCAGGGACCAGATATAATGGTGATACAGCAGCTTAGTCCCACACCTGTGGAGTCCCTGGCTTCTCAGCTGAGATTGTTCCCAGTTTGGGTTTTTGGCTGTTGATTTCCCTCTCTCTTTTCTCTGATTTGGACTCATTTTGCTGGAGGAACCTGCATTACCCAATGACTGTTACATGACACCCAGCTTGGCTCTTTGTAAACACAGACTGCATTTAGATTGGTTTGGTGTCATGATGAGCCCCCCAGATGCCTCACAACTGATCCCTGAGCAAGTGATGTCCTCTCTGAAAATGGTTTTAAAATGAGCTCTTCTACATTATCAATAAAGGGGAAAAGTCTTCTATTCTTTCAGACCTCACTTTTAAGTCATTAATTTTGAAAACCTAGTTTTGAAAACCTAGTTATCTTTAAAAAAAAATAAATCTAATGCAGGTATTTCAAATGTTCCTCATTCATCATGTGCAAGTTTTCTGAGCGAGGTGTATGAATGCTTCACAGCTTTCAAAATCAAGCAGACTCCTGACCTTAAAACCTGCAATCACATCTCAGTGCAATTCTGAACACTGTTATAATGGGTTTAATGTAATCAGGGAGTAAGTGGACAAAGCTGCAGTGAGTTTAACAAACATGCTCCCACATGTTTATTACATCTCACACTGAAGAAGAGAGCTGTACAAACTCCACTCTATCCAAAGGGACGCTTCTCTCCAGTTACGTTCTCCTATCTGATTACCTGTGTGCCACTTACAGAACCCTTGCAAGCTCTCTTAATATAATACCTGCATCGGCGGGGAGTACTGTGAAGGGAATGTTTTTGGTTTCGATCTTTACAGAAGGCTCCAGTAAAGACTGCGTTTTAAGTGGCACTTTTTTCACCGGCACTTTAGGCATGTGGAGCAGGCCTGATGGCAGAGGGCCTTGGATCTGGATGCGGGTCCCAGGAGGCAAAGGGTGAACCACAACCGGGATCTTCATATCTTCAGAGAGGAACCCAAAACCTTTACGTAGCTGCACCTTGCCGTCATCAATGCTGGTACAAACAGGCCCACACAGGGCTCCAGCAGGAGCAGGAAGAGGCCCACAAAGGGATCCAGCGGGAGCAGGAAGAGGCCCACACAGGGATCCAGTGGAAGTAGGAAGAGGCCCACACAGGGATCCAGTGGGAACAGGAACTGGCCCGCACAGGGATCCAGTGGAAGCAGGAAGAGGCCCACACAGGGATCCAGTGGGAATAGGAACAGAAACACACAGGGATCCAGTGGAAGCAGGAAGAGGGCCACAAAGGGATCCAGTGGGAACAGGAAGAGGCCCACATAGGGATCCAGTGGGAACAGGAACTGGCCCACACAGGGATCCAGCGGAAGCAGAAACTGGCCCACATAGGGATCCAGTGGGAACAGGAATTGGTCCACACAGGGATCGAGTGGGAACAGGAACTGGCCCACACAGGGATCCAGTAGGAGCAGGAACTGGCCCACACAGGGATCCAGCCAGAGCAGGAACTGGCCCACACAGGGATCCAGTAGGAGCAGAAACTGGCCCATACAGGGATCCAGCCAGAGCATTGGCAGGCCCACAGAAAGATCCAGCCAGAGCATCATCCTTTCCCACCTTCACCCCAAAGGCCTCAAAGGCCACACCAGGCATCTCCACTTTGACAGCACCGTCTCTCCAGGGCTCCTTCCCATTCCCCCACTTCTCCAGCACCTTCACCTCCTTCTGGCATTCACCGCCAAACACTTCATGGTCCCTTTCTCTCTTGATGGCACCGCAAGCCTCTTCACCCACTTCCTGAACCTGGGAGCACCCGAACCCTGCCCCTGACTCTCTGCCATCCCCGCAGTAGCCCTGGCCATTGCCCGGCTCCACACCGGGCTCCTCCACTTTGATGTGCAGCACCCCGAGGGCACCCTTGCTGTCCTCCGGTGGCCGGAGGTGGCGGGATGCCGCCGGGGGCCGCCGGGGGCCGCTGCGGGGGACCGGACGCTGCCGCCGGCCCCTCTCCATCCCAAGGCCGCCCCTTAGGGCGCCCGCGGCCGTTGATGCCAAAGCTCGCCGCGCCCTCCCGCCAACGCCCACCAACGGGCGCGCCTCGAGGACCGTTGGCGGAGGCTCCGCCGCCGGTCACGCCCCGGGACGAGGCTGTAACCATAGAGAGGTCCGCCGAGACGCACAGAGCGGCTCCCCCGAGGGAGGGGTGTTCACCCCGCTTCCGTTTCCGCTCTGGTCATGCTGGGCTGCGGGCGGGCCGCTGGAGCTAAGGCGGCCGGGAGCGGGTGGTGGGTGCGCAGCTTGCGCGGCCGCTGCCGCCGCCTCCTGTCCATGGCGAAAAGCAAGTTCGAGTACGTGCGGGACTTCGAGGCGGACGATACGTGTCTGCCCAACTGCTGGATAGTGGTGCGGCTGGACGGCCGCAACTTCCACAGGTGAGGGCGGGCGGGCAGCTCATGGCCGGGGCGCTTCTGGCGGTGTGGTCGCTCTGGCGGCGCCTCAGCGAGTGGAGTGGGGGGGACGGGTCCGGGGTACGGAGGCGCGAAGCCCTGGAGGCGCTGGGATGCTGGCTGTGAGTGCTGGGCCGAGAAACGGCCCCTGGCTGCCGCCATGCGGGAGCCTTGGCAACTCCCTGCCCGGCCTGGGCGGGTTCCGCAGGGTTAACAACTCCTCCTTTCCCCTCACCCCCAGAGTGAGGCCTTAGCTCTGCCTCTCCGATTGCTACCGGTGCTTTGCCTCCGAGGGCCATGGTTTGATTCATAACGGTGCCTTCGGCAGCGTGGTAGGGAAACGGTTATACCAGTGTCTGAGGGGAGCAGCAGTTGCTGGGGGAAGGCTAGCAACTGGTGTACAGCGTGTTTTATTTGTGTTTGGTGTCGGTGTCTGTGCGGCGTTCATCTTTTCTGGTGATCAATAGAACGCAGTTCTCAAGTGCTAGATGATGTATCCGTTGCTGGGGATTTGGTCTCTGGGTTTGTCACAGAGTTCTGGTAAAGCTGTCAAGTTTTAAGAAGTAAATGATAATGTTGCCTGTATTGGATAGAGTGTAAAAGGCAGCATGGGAGAAAGTGAGTTTATATTTGTCACCTTTTCCAAGTAAAATACAGAACCCAGTGGTGCAAGACTGGTTAGGCTGAGATAGTGATGGGAAAGAGAATGGGTTCTTCAGAGTGTGCAAAAAGGTTTTTTGTTATTGCTTTTCATACCTGGAGCAAATTCTCTGTATTGCCAGGTTGCTGGAAATCAATATTGATAGAAGGCAAATGTGAGGAAACTAAAAGGGTTGTCATTTTTAGTGGCTTCTTAAGGGGTTCTTATTCAACCATTTTTGCTTTGAAGGTTTTCTGAGCAGCATGAGTGCAAAAATTCAGATGATGCCTGTGCTCTTCATCTGGTGACCAGGTGTGCCCGGGCAGTGATGGAAGATATTGCTGCTGCTTCGGGCCAGAGTGATGAATACAGTTTTGTCTTCCAATAGAAGAGTAGGTGGTTTAAACGAAGAGCAAGGTAAAAGCTGCTTTGATACTACATCCCTAAACCTCTAGTTCTTTAGGTTTGCCTTTATCTACATGCAGAAGTTAAGAGTTAGGCTGTGTTTGGGTGCATATGCTCTATTTAATTCAGGTTCTTCATGTGAAGGCTTTGTTCATGATCTTTCAGGAAAACACGTTCAGTGATACAGGGATTTAAAACCAGAATTGCTGATAGAAACATCTGAAACAAACATTGACAGAATAACCATTCTTTTAACCAAATGTTACCTTTTCCAAACTTCCTTGATTCTCAGGATTTCCTGTTCTCCAAAAGACTCTGTCGTTGCTGATCAGTTGGGCCATTACTTAAGCAATGCTGCTGCCCACCAGGATGATAGGTACTTATACCTCAGATAATCACAGCTACAAATCACATTGAGGTATTTCTTTCTTTTCCCTTTTGCTTTGTGTTTGCAAGCAAGTTCATGACTCGTGTGGTCTCCCAGTTTGCCTGAAGTTATGTTTTCTATTGGGAGGATTACTTCAAGGAGCAGCAACTTCTGTACCCACCAGGATTTGGTGCCCGAACTGTGTTGTATCCCAGCCACCAGAATTTAAAGAACTATCTCTGCTGGAGACAAGCAGATTGTAAGTGTTTCTAGAAAACAGATTTGTGCAGTGGAGTCGTCTTCGTCTCTGAATAGAAATGCCTTTATTGCCAGTGTGTATAGGTATCAGTGAAGGATCATTTTGGGCTTTGTATGGGTACAGAAATACTGGCTGGAATTTTGAGCCTTCAGGTTACAACCATATTTGTTGCATGCTGGGAGTGAGTTCAGCACAAGAAATATTTTAAATATTAATAGAATGAATTTACTACTTTTTATGTCCCAAGTTTGTTTAGCATGGGGAATCTTGAAGGGATGTGGATGTTCAATCAGTGCTGTATATTCCACACCAGAACACACCATTGGATTTATTTCCTAGGCATTTGTTGGTGCCTAATCCCTATTGCTCAGATGAAGACAACTTGCATTGCACAGAAACACCCTTCACTCTCTGCTCTCCAATTTCAGAATTACAAAGAAATGTGTCTTCTAGTCATTCTCATGATACGCAGTACCTTAAGAGTTAATCAGAAAGATCATATCATCTCTAGCAACTGGTATTATTAATTCTGTTTTATTCTTGGCTGTTTCTTGAGTACAACTCTGAAACTAAAGCTGTTTTTTCTGAGTAGTCACTTAGATCTTATAACTAGTCTTTGTCTCTCTTTTTTTCTGTAGGCTGTATCAATAACCTTTATAATACAGTGTTATGGGTGCTTGTACAGGCAAATGGTTTGACACCAGTGCAAGCACAGGATAGACTGCAGGTAAGAGTCTTTTTAGATCATGTGTTTTCCAGCTACAGAGAAAATCCTAAGATTTGTAAAGCTGGACTTGCCTACCCAGCAGGCGTGGCTGGATTGTCTGTTCTCACAATAATAATTTTGTGGATGTTGATTCAACGACTTCCTCACTTGTACAGGTGCTGACGTGATTAGAAAACACTGGGTTTTTGGCTGTAGGATTTTAATCCTTCAGTAGCATGCTCAGAAACCATAGAAATGTCATATAAACATCCAGTATATGTGTGCATGAAGTACTCTGGCAGGATTCAGCTAGTATGGATCCCCAGTCCCTTCTGTAGGATTTTGCCTCAACGTGCAGGCTCGAGCAGATCATTTTCTCCTGGAGTCTGTTGACTTTTATCGGCTTGTCTGGAAAATGGAATCACGCAGACAACAAAACCTTCTCTGTATTAACATCCTCGTTTGGCAGTTGGAAGGAATTCCTCTGTTGGAAGAGGTAGTTAAACCCTGTGACTTAAAGGTGAAAATCTGCCTGAATGTCAGTCTTGCATCCAGTGTTCACCCTTTTTCTACCCTAGAGATTCAGTTTGTTTGGTTTTCTCTAAGAGTGTTTTCTGTTTTCGGTTCTTCCCAGGGGACTTTGGCTGGAGATGAGAATGAAATACTCTTTTCTGCATTCAACATCAACTACAACAACAAACCTCTGATGTACAGAGAAGGAGCTGCCTTAGTATGGCAAAAGGTAAACAGCTGTATTACCACTTGCTTCACGCTCAGGGTTTTAGTAGGGACACTATGGCAGATAAGCTGTGCTGTAAGGTGACCAGCTATATCCCAAATATATGTCTATGTATTTAACATATTCCTATGTATTAACTAACCATATTTACCTTGTAATGATGTGTGAGTATCTTATTATTTTGGAGATATTTTTGAGAGATGTGTCTCTATGAGCACAGTATAAAAACTGGTGTTTGAAGTGTGACTTAGGTACAAATTATGACTGTTGAGCTAACCCATGTATCCATGGCTGAGGGGTGTTGGACTAGATGATCTGCAGAGGTCCCTTAGAGCATTATTGATTCTGTGAATTACACAAGTCTGATGTTTTTGCTAGACAAACCTGCTTTGTTTAATGAATTGTACCCTTGGTCTGTTAATGTTAGCAGCTTTGAAAATGCAGAAAGCATTCTGCTTCCTGAAAAACTCCATTTCAGTGACTATTGACATTTTGATGTGATAATTGTTGGGGCCTGTGTCGGGCCCTTCACAGGAATAGATCCCAGGTATTTCCACTGCAAAGGAATTATGACCTTCTGGCCTACTGTTTCTTTGTTTGGCCTACTATTACTTTGTTTGACCTAATTGGAATAGATAGAGGCTTCCACCTGGAAATCCGTTCACACACACACAGTATCACACAGTATGCTAGAGATTCCACTTGTTCCTGCCGGAGCAGGAACATATAATTTACACAGGAATGTTCCAGGCGGGTTTTGGTAATGACATTTGCATGATTTCCCATTTGCTTTATATAATTCCAAATTAAATACTGTGTTTTATTCGGGAACATTTGGAATCAGGTGACTTTGCAGGTCATTTCTTCAAGCCATGTGATGATGACATGCAGTTTCAGCTGCTCATGGTTGAACTGAGAATAGGCTTTCTTTCAAAAGATGCTATGTAGTGTGCTATAGGGTTGACAGTTGCTTTTTTTGTAGCTTTGGTTCTTGTCCATTTGTGAATTTCCTCTGGAGTCTTTCCTGTCTGCTAATGTGTCAACTGTATTTTCAGGTTAATGAAGTCATGACTAAGAAAATGAAACTGCCAAGGGAAGCAGAAGAAAAGGAAGTTGAAGTGACTCGGACTAGGACTAAAGTTGTTCCTCTGCACTGTGACATTATCGGGGACCAGTTCTGGGAGGAATACCCTGAGATTCTGGCTGAGGATAGTTGATATCTCTGAGTATCACTGATGTCTGACGTACAAGGATATGCCCAGATGGAGAGCTAAAATCCTAGTAGATTTTGAATGTTAAGGAATCATAATTGAAGACTGCTCCTTTCTTGAACCATGCGTATTTGTAGAAAAAGTGTACAGAAATGCCCTGCATTTCTATAGCATTTAAATGAAGTGTTTTACTGAACTGCCAAACTATAAAAAGGTTTGTGTATTTGAACAGCTCAAAGCAGAGGAGAAAATAATGCGTTTTTTTTTGTTTGTTTGTTTGTTTCAACTGCGATGGGCCAGAATAGGATCACAGAACAGTTTGGGTTGGAAGGGGCCTTAAAGATCATTGGCCTGGGTTCAGCTGTAGCAGTCATTTTTCTCTTTAGTAGTTGGTGCAGTGCTGTGTTTTTGGCTTTAGCCTGAGGACAGTGCTGTTAGCACCAGCTGAAGACTTTGGTGAGTCAAGTAACATTTACTCCGATCAAGGACTTTTCAGTCTTTTTCTCTGCCAGTGAGGAGGGGCAGGAGAAGCCAGGAGGAAACGGAGACAGGACACCTGACCCAAACTAGCCAAAGGGTTATGCTGTAGCACAGCATGTCATGCCCAGGATATAAACTGGACAGAGCTACCTGGAACGCCCAGATCGCTGCCAGGTTGGGCTGGGTGTCGGTTGACGGAAGGTGGGTGATTGTACTCTCACCCCTTGTTATTTCCCTTATCATTATTGTTACTGGTGGCAGCAGTAGTGGTTTTGTGTTATACCTTAGTTACGGGACTGTTCTTATCTCAACCCTACTGGCTGAGCTTAAACCATGCCAGTTCTTCTTGCCGGGTGTGCTGGTGCACGCCTGTAGTTTCATCTACTAATGTAGATGACATTATTATTATTATTACTAATGTATTATTATTACTAATGTAATCCATACATAGCCTCATGAATATGTATACATGCCCAGGGACTATATAAGGATGTCTCCTGTAGCCATACGGGGACATCCCCCATGTCTCCTGGTGCCGCAATCAAGACTACCCGCTTGTCAACTTGAAAACTCTCTTGGCAAATTTGTGCCTGGACTTTTCTCCAATGGCTTGTGTAGCAAGGCGGGGACACACGCTAGGAGGAGCCCTCCGCCGTGTCTCCTTGGAAACTTTGTTGGCGAGTTTGGTCCCATCCAACCTGGCCTTGAACGCTGGCAGGGATGGGGCAGAATACTTCAACTGGCATTTAGTATTGAATTTCAAGGCTCATGTGTTTAATCAGATCAGTGCTAAGCTGTTTGCCTGCTCTGATCCTCACACAAAGGGAGTAGCCCAGCAGTTTTTTGTGATTTTCAAAGCTTTTGTCAAATGCACAGGTTTTTTATACTTTTGAAAAATAAAAATAATAATTTCTTCCCTGTTGTGTTTATTACTGGGCCTTTATTTTCCCGAGAATTTTACTAGTAATGGGTGAAAGTTCCGGAGAGGGGAATTAATAGTCAAGGTATGGTAGAGATTTGAAGTCTGTTAGGCCATGGGCAGTACACACTGTGTTCTCCTCTTCTGTGCCCGGCAGCAGAGTTGGTGTGTGTCTCCTGCTGGGCAGCAGAGTGAAAAGTGGTACCACTGGAAATTCTGGTGCCTGCAAAGAGGCCGCTGACCCAAATTCGTACTGCTGTCTTCTGATTTTCCTGGGGATGGCACAGACAGTGCTCCTGATAGTACAGGTTAGAGGCAAAACAATCAATTAATTAATCAAACAGTTAAATCCATACAACCTCTCTGAGCCGAGATAGTTCTGCCAAGGTAAAGGGGCTTGTCCCAGTGCAGCTGGGATTGGAGAGAAACAACCTATTTCAGTATAGAAATACAACTGTAATGATAGAACAGGTATTTATAAGGATATTACTGCTAGAACAGCAATCGGGCATGCTGCTGCTAAGGGAGAGACAGGAGTTGGGACTGGCTATAAAACTGGAAGCAAAGGCTAAGGTGTGACTGAATTAGTTACCCATGAATTTGTACAGCAGCCTGCTCTCTGTTTCCTTTTTTCTTCCCCCAGGAAGAACTTACACATTTAAGGCAATGTGTATTTGGGTTTGGTTTTGTTTTTTAAAAGCCACCCACCAGGTGCTGATGTAAACTACACCTTTGTAGGTTCTTCCTGAGATTAAACAATGAGCCAATGTGCTCCTGATAGCACAGGGCTTCCCTTTCACCGCTGTGTTGTTTAACATGAAGCAGACCCAGTGGGAGAATGGGGATAGAATTTCCTTTGGAGAATGGGCTGTGTAATTCCCAGGAAGAGGATATGAGGGATTATGAGAGGATGATTCCAGATGAGTCATTGCACTCACCATTGACCCTTAAGCCCTTCCTGTTTGCATGTTGGTTTGGGGTTTACTTTCCTTTGAGATGCTGTGTGTTGCTATCTGTTGCCTGACTTGGGACGTTACATCTAAAGCAACTGTTCCAGAGGTGGTAACAGCTGGATTTTGAAGTCAAAGTTTTAGATTAAGAAATTTGGCAACCATGATTCATGCATGGAAAGTATTATGTACCTTTTTTGTCTTCTATGACTACCTGATCCATAAATACACTGTGGAATGTATGTACATGATATGTGTGTATATTAGGTCATCCTTACAATAGTACATAAATGTATCTGCGTGCATATGGATGCAGACTTTAGAACCAACATATGGATTAGCTGAAGAACCATACCCTTTGATTTGCATTAATATAAATGCTGGAGAAAGAAAATCCCTGTGCTGTTGTCATGCGTCAAGTCATTTCTGTGACTTTGTAGCTGTAGGGGGAAATAAATCTCCCCAAGGCTCAAGCAGCAGACAGGTGTTAGCACCACACACAGCTCAACCTGCGGCCTGTGCCTGTAGGGGTTTCTACAGCTGCAGCAGTCCCGTACGGTGACCCACTGAAGGAGTCCTTCCGTAACAGGAAGCACAAACGTACAGGACCCAGGTCTGGAAGATTAATGGGAGGCGATGGAATCCGTCCCAGTAAAACTGCTTTGCAGCATTAACACACGGGGCCTTGCTGTTCCTGTGCTTTACACCCTTTTTACGGGTTAAAATGCAAACTCCCTTGCAACCACCGTTTGCCCAGGTGCTATTTCATGGCCAGGGCGGTGCCGTCCGTTCCCTGCGCGGCGGAGATCTCCTACATCAGCTGTGGGGCTGCAGGGGGAAACCCGGGGCAGCGACCAGCGCTACCGGCGCCACGGGCCGAGGGCAGCCGTAGAACGCCGCACTTGGGGCTGCTCCTTGCGCGGGCGCGGCCGGCTCCGCCCCTCGGCCCGCCCCGGACGCGGGCGGTGCTCCGCGGCCTCTGCCCTCCCTTCCCCGCGCCGCGCGGGTCCCGCTCAGGTTGTGCGGCCGCAGGGGGGGCTCTCCGGACGGGACGGCAGTGCCCCCTGGCGGCAGCGGGGTGCCCCGGGCCCCTGCCCGCAGCCCGGCATGGAGGAGGAGGAGGGTGCCGCGGGCGGCGCGGAGCCGCGGCACCCCCGCCGCCGGCTCGGAAGCGAGCGCTGCCCCAGCCCCAGCCGCTTGGACGTGAGCTCCAGCCGCTTCGACCCGCTGCTGGCGCTGTACTCGGCCAGCACGCCGCTGCCCTTCCCCTCCGCGCCCTGCTTCAACAACCTCGCCGAGTACGAGAGCTTCCAGCGCGGCCTGCTCCGCCCGCGGGGCCGCCGCTCCGCTCCCTCTCGCCGCGGCCCGCCCGCTTCCCGCTCCGCCCGCCGGGGCCCGCCCGCCGCCGACCCCGAGCGCATCCAGCGCCTCCGCAGCCTCATGGTCAACGCGGGCCACGAGCAGGAGGCGGCCGAGGGCGGGGGCACGGCCCGGCGCCGGCGGGCACCGCGCAACGTCCTCACCAGGATGCCCCGTAAGTGCGGGCGGACACGGAGGGGTGCTGCGGTGCGGAGGGGAGCGCGGGGCGGCTGCAGGCAGGGGTGGAGGGCGTGAAGGCGCGGGTCTGGGCCGGGTGCTGAGGGGGGAACGCTGTAGGAGCTGAGCCGTGGGGTCGAGGGATGCGGCGGGGCCCGGGTGTGGCCGGAGGCGTGGAGCTGGGATGGAGTTTGGGGAGTTGGGAGGTTGTGTTCTGGAGGGGGCGGCGGTTGGGGGACAATGGATGTGGGTGGTGGGGAAGGGGCAGGGATGGAATCCGGGTGGAAAACGGTGCTTGTGTGTTAGGTGAGAGAGTGGGGAAACCGTGTGCGTGTGAGGAGCGGCGAACTTCACAGGAGTGCTTATTCAGAGATGGCACTCGCTATGGTGACGTGCTGCTCAGCTGTGTGGTTGATTATGTTGATCCTCTTGATTGAAGGAAAAAAGGATGCGATACTGCTGTGCTTTTGAAAGTGCACTTTTTAAACCAGGAATCAGATTTGAGCCCGTTCAGCTCGTGACTAAATCATAATAACCTCGGCATGAGTCTATAGCACACTGCTATATATATCTTAGTTACTAACTGTATGCCTCAGGGGCATAAATACAGTGCTGGCATTTCTAATACCATGATGGTAGGACAGTGGTGGGAGGCTGGAGGCAGCTGTGATGCTGATACAAGTTTCTCCTGTAAATCTGTGGGTGCAGTCAGGACGATAGCCCCTGCATGTGAAGGGGTGCAATTCATGTGCCAATGCAAGCATCAGATGGCATTGCTATCAAATGAGATGTAGCTTTAGTGCACTTAATTAAACACATTGTGTGTTTTTTGGAATCAAAGTATCTCTTCTAATCACCAGCATCACTTTAATGATGTTGTTCTAAAAAGGCAAAGCACAGATTGTTCAGTCCTCAGTGCCCAAAGCAGACCTTTGCCCTTGCTTAGACGTCAAAGCATAATGTATTCACTGCTGTAGGCACTGCATGATGCTAATGTCCCATCAACTTAGCATTCTGCACAAATGCAGAGGCTCTGTTGGTGTAGGATTTCCAGATGAACTGACCTTAAATACTGATTTAGCATCCTAAATGGATGCTGTGATGGAATTGGGGAAAGAAAAAAACCAAACCCAACCCAACTGTGAAAATTAACTAGTGGTGGTCTAGCAAATAAATTACATGGTTCCATTAAGAGCATATACTTAATATGCACACATCTAAGGCTGGGCAGCATGGACTTTGAAGCAGACTGGCACAACTGCCATGAAAAGTGCTATTCAGCAGTCTGGAGAGCTTTAAGAATAACTTTCCTGTAAGCAGGGGTCTGTCTGCACTGCAGATGGGCCCACATTTGAAGCCTGGGTTCTGAGGTGGTGGCTGCGTCTGAAAGTAACTGATGGGTGGTTTGCTGCATCCTTGTGCTCCCAGGTAGCAGTGACAAGGTACGATGTGTTCCCTAAATTCAGTGGGTCAGAAGTGTAAAATGGAGCTAATGTTTTGCTTGTCACGAGATGTGATTTCAGATGCAGCCACAAAAGCGAGAAGGAAGCTGCTTGAGCAGTGCCTGTGTTGGATCAGTTCAGGAGAAGCTATTCCTAATTAACTTTGCATTTACCAAAGGGGCAGAGAACTCATGTGCAGGTGGTTAATGCAGAGCAGTTAGAAAGGCCTTTGGTAGTGCTCTGGGTTATTTCAGCTGTTCTCATTTGCTTTGCTTTTATTGCTTGGGTTTGGTTTTGTTTTTAATCTTGCCTCTTAAAACCTTGCCCTGAGGACAGGGACTTGAACTTCACCAGAGTTTGTATCTTTATTTTTTCCCTCCTGGGGTACTCACCCTCTGGCTTGCAGTAATTTATTAGCTGTTCTTCAGAATCCTGGTATTAAGCATGTGCTTACTGTACACAAATAGGGATTGGATTTAGAGTACAAAACCAACCAGGTGCATCCTTCCTTGTGGATTGAAAACCTATTCATCCTGGTACATCACAGCATCAGCAGCCACAGGCAACTCTAGCTATGTGCAGAGCCTGGTCACCCCAGGCTTTGCTGCTTGCAGAAGAGCAAAAATGAATTCCTTTCATTGCTGGTTTTATTGTTTTGCCAGAAGTGGATGTCAGATTGTTTAAAGGCTTTTGGATTCTGTGTTCTGCCCTTTTGATCAAGTGAAGTTGAAGGTTTGCCCTGGTGAAGCTGCAGGGGCAAGTGGAAGAGTGTGTCTTGTCTAGGTTTGGTAGAGCCGCAGTGTTCTCCACCAGGCCTAATGGGGTGCTGACAGTCAAAGGCATAGTTGGGAATATAGACAGGATGTGGATTTTCACAAGAAGTTGTAGATAAACTTCCTGCATAAAGGGAACATTGGAATTTAAAATCTGACTCTGATAAGATGCTGTAGATTGTCAGAATTGGTTAGAAAGAAAGAGTGTTTTCTGATTAAAAGCATCCATCTGATGATGCGATGGTGTCACCTGTGGTTCCTGCACATCCAGACATCAGTTCCTCATCAGTTTGGCTGAAGGAAGCAGAGAGACTTGTGAAAAGGCCCCCACAGGCAGAGCTGGGAGGTACTGAGGCAGCTTATGCTCTGTGTGAAAGCAGTTTTCTCCAGCTACCCAGCTGGAGAGGGCTGGCAAGACGACAGTGGATCTCAAAAGATAAATGTTGTTAGGTTAATTCAGAGGCAACTGCTTTAGCTTTCCCTGCTGTGGCTAAGAATTACCATGCAGGCAAACACCGCAGATCAGCTGTCATATGGCAACGCTTTACACTCACAGGATGTATCTTCTAGAGTGCAAATCAGGCCTTGAATGCGTGGTCCCTAAAGCACAAGGCAAGAGATCATCCCTGACTCAGATATTTTATTAATATGAAGAGCCATGTGAGATTTTAGACCAGTGTTTTCCCCTGGCTCTCAGAAGGAATTGTACAGCAACCCTGGGGCTGTGTTTGCACAAGCAAATGAGTAGCTGTAATTTAGCACTGGAATGGCTTTGCTGTGGTGTAGGTGGAAGTTGTAAAGTAAATAATATCTACCCCTCCAGGTAATTTACACTTGCAGAGATTTTCTAGTGTGCAGATAAGGCGTGTTCCTATCAGATAAGCTGTATGTTTTCCTGAATCCCATTGTGCCAAAAAGGGGCTGACAAGAAATCTGGATGGGGACTTCTTACAGGGCATGTAGTGACAGGACAAGGGGGAATGGCTTTAATCTGAAAGAGTGGAGTTTCAGATTGGATACTGGGGGAGGAGGAATCACTGAGGGTGGCACTGGCATATGTTGCGTAGAGATGCCGTGGCTACCCTATCCCTGGCAGTGTTCAAGACCAGGCTGGATGGGGCTTGGAGCAACCTGCACACATGGAAGGTGTCCCTGCCCATGGCAGGGGCTTCAACTGGATGAGCTTAAAGGGTCTTTCTAACCCAAACCAGTCTGGGATTAGTGTTCTGTGGGTTAGCTGGTTTCATCGATGACTGTTGCGTAGAGTAATTTCATTTCTTTGCTGCAAAGGCTTGTGCATCTTTGAAGGGTGTTCTGCTGCCTGCTGAAAGTTCAACTGAAACAATCCATTTTCATCAGTTTAAACAGATCCGGTTTAGTTAGTTGAAGATCTTTGAGTCAGTCATTGTTTCAGAAATCGTGTAAAGAAAAGGAACACACTTGATACAGTAGTTTATTGAGTAAAGTGCCTAAGCTGAGGTAGCCTTAACTAGGCACTGTCTTCATAACTCACTCTGCCTCTGTGAATGTTCTTTTCCCTCTGCTTAAGTTTAGCATTACTTTGCATGTTTCTGAAATGCAGCAGGAAGATTTTCAGATGAGGCTGTTTTGGCTGTGGGTTATGTAAAGCGAAGCCTTCATATTTTCTAAAGTCTTTGTTGTCCCCACTGTAAGAAGAGTCTAAAAGAAAATGGTATAGTAATGACAACTGCAGTGCATTACAGTGCTCCAGGGCTTCTCTTTTCTTTTGCTGTGAAGACAAGTGTTGTGCCAAGATCTGCTGTACTTCCACTCTATGTCTATAGGAATATACATAGTATATTCTTACATATATTTTTAGACACACATATATATATATACATATGTTTATATATGTATTTTGTTGAAAACCTGTGTTGTTCTCTTTGTGGTTTAGTCCATGAAGGCAGCCCACTGGGGGAACTTCATCGCTGTGTCCGAGATGGTGTAAGAATCAATGTCCATATCCGCACTTTCAAAGGACTTCGTGGAGTCTGCACAGGTTTTTTGGTTGCATTTGACAAGTTCTGGAATATGGTAATTAGTTTTCATTTAGTTATTTTATCCTTGATTTATAACTGGTATATTGAAAACTTGAAATTTGTGATAGGTTTGAGCAAACTACACTGTGAGAGGATTAATGTGGTATTTGCTCTTGCACCGAGGGCTGGGTTACAGGTGAAAGTGGTGCCTGGTGTTGGATTGGTACATCTGAGAGTAGCCATCTTAGAGAGGTTTTAGGTGAGAGAGGAGCTTTGAAGAGTTCCCAAGATCTTCAAAGGTTTTGTATAAGAATTCAAGAAGGTGGAATATGAGGAATATAAGAAGCTTCCGAAGCTTTCTCTGCAGAACCCAATCTTCTTATAGTCATAGCCACTTCTTTGTTTTCTTTCACTAGCATGTCATTGGGATGTCAGCGACAAAAGCTTTTCCTTGTGTTCCACCTCATGAAGATTTTAAAGACAGCGATGGAAAAGCAGCTATTAAATATTTGTGAGCATGGAGCTGTGAAAAGTTTGGAAGTGGGGAGTGGGGGTGGATTTTGCAGGTTTACAGAGATTTTGCAAGTAGTGCAGGACAGATGCCAGGCTTTGCTGCTGCTTTTATAGCTCACTACAACTTGGATGATTAAGAAACCAGCTTCAAAGCACAGCTTGTTCCTGGGATGGTTTTTCTCTTAGAACGTAATTCCATAGCGCTGTGACACAAAGCTGGTCCAGAGCTTCTTCATGTTTTCTTTTAATCTTGACCTTTCTGTTTCTTCTGTCTTCTAGGCCCTGACAGATGTAGATGAGACATACAGAAAACCAGTGATGGGCAAAGCGTTCTACGCAGAGCCTCAGCTCTCACTAACCAGGGTAGGTAGCCATCTCCAGTTCTCATTTGCCTTTTTAGTGTCTCCTTTTTCAAAGCAGTAAAAGGGGAGCATTGATTGGAAGACTGTATTTATATTTCAGTACTTTACCTCCTTTTATTACAGATGACTGCAATAATGACTTGAACTGGTTTTCAGATCAGAACAAAGCAGTTTTCTGACCTTTTTGAAATTTGGTCATAGTTCAGTGTTAGAGAAGTTCTACTTTGGAGTTGCTAATATCAGATCACAGTTGCTACCACTGTGTAGTGCAACATGCTGACATTCTATAAGATCACTCTGGGTTTTGATTTGTTCAGTGCATTCTGCTGCACCTATGATTGATCTGGTTCACATTTGTCCTGTGCACGTTTGGCAGTGCATTACTTTGACACCCATGTTCATGGAGTGACAATTTTTGTCTCCACCTAATGAAACAGTACATCTCTGTGGTCAGTTGAACTTCTGGTCTAGGTACTATGAAGCCCAAGATTTGGGACATTGCTCTGAAGCAAGACACTCTCTAGGATCCAGCTACAAAAATGATGTGTATGAAGTTGAGAACTGAAGAGATGATAGATGAAATTCTGAACAATGAAGGGGAAGAAAAGATGTGTCAGAGCTGTGCCTATTGAATGGCAGAGCTCTGGGCCTTTCAAACATCAGAGAAGTGTCCTAAAAACACTTAAATGATTTCATTATGAGGAATTTACTTTCAAACTCCTGCCATTTCAATCTGTTTTCTGATAGATCCCACCCTTCCTCTTTTAAAGATTAGTTAAAAATAATCAAGTTGCCATTGTTCCTTCATCCACTCTCACAGGGATTGGTTTTCTGTCCTGTTGCTGGGAAAGGGACAGGCTAACCGAGAATTTTCTTCATTTGTCTGTATTTCATAAAAGTTTGCCTGCTGCCAGAGTAAAAGCAGTTTCTTTTCCAGTTTCAGCACATGTATCCTTAGATTAATGAGCTCATACAGTGCTCTGGATCTGCTGCTCTAGCTTTTATTATTTTTCTATTGTTTGCGGCCTGCTCATGTCCCAGAATACCCGCATGGCATGATTTAGTTTGTTTTGGGGAACACAGAAGGTCCATCATGGGGCAGCTTGGTAACTGTCTGTCGGTCTGGACCAAAGTTAAATGCAAACACATCAGTATTGCTTCCCAAATTAAATTCCTTGGTGCTCACATGAAGGCACTCATGTGCATGCAGCAGATGCATTTACCTTATGTCACTGGTGGACTTTGGCAAGAAAACACAGTCTTTATTGCTGGTAAAGATTCCTCGCTAATTATTGTATTGTGAGCTCTGATTTGGGATTGTAGATGCAAATACCACATAGTAATGCTGAACAAGCACCTCTTGTTTTATGAATGTGGTCATATACACAAATGCTCTTTTACAGCTGTTTAACAGACTCAAGCTGCAGGATTCCTCAGTAAAGAAGGGAGCTGACTCAAAGACTGTCTCAGAGGAGCTAGCCCTGACAAATGACTCTCAGATGCTGGGGTCGAAAGCTGGATCAGGACGAGGGAGAGCAGAAGATGAGCGTGAGAGGCAGAAACGCTTGGGCAGAGGTGGAGAAAAGAAGATGCCAGGTGACAGTTCACATCTGGCTGCCAGAGGTGAAGCTGATGTGGGCAGCGGGCCTGCCCGCACAGAGGGTGCCAGTGCTGGTGGTACCCGTACAAGAAGCCAGTCACGGAGGAAAAGGCGGCCCAAAGTGGATTATCAGCAGGTGTTCACACGTCACATAAACCAGATCTTTATTCGAGGAGAGAATGTCCTGCTTGTCCATTTAGCACATTGACTTAGCTGAGCCTTTGTCAGTATATTTATTTGATAGCATGAATTGCCGCTGCAGCTCACATCGCTATTTAGCATTCTCGTTAAGTATGATGGTACTGTGACTGGTTTCCCATTGCCATAACAAGATAGGGGAAATAATTCTAACTGGAGCATCCTGAACTTGATGCCAAAGCAGCCTCCTTAGATCTCTGTTGGGGATTTCTGTTGCTGACGGAGTCAGAAATGCAGTTGTTTCTGTGAAGTGGGCACAGATCCTACTGCTCCTTAAAAAGAAGCTAAACAGAGGGGGCTGGAAGAGAATATTGGTGTACTCGGCTACAAGAGCTAATTGTGGCCCACATTTAAGGAGCTTAAGGTTTTTGTTTGCATGTTCTGAGTAATCTCAAAAGAAGGTTGCTAATGAAACTGATAGTTTATCTCTGCTGTTACATGGATGTTCTCTTTTCCAGACAGTTCTGACAGTCATTTTGGAAGTATGAAAAGGTGGAGTAACGTGCTACTTGGTGGCTATTAGCTGCTTCTTCAGTTAGCTCTCTAATGCCCTGTATGATAGAAAGCCTCTCAATTGAAAACTACTCTTTTTCTCTGAATAATGGAAGGACATTAATTTGTTTTTACGATGTCAAAGCTTGGGCTTCTGGTTTTGTATGCTGTGCTTTAGCCCTGTGTCACCAGCAAGCAGCTAATGTAGCTGATCCACAGGCCTCCATATTTGGAGTTTCTCTGTAAATATTGTGGTTGCAGATGGCAAATTGTACTTCCATATTTCACCCATTTGCTACTTGGTGTAATAGTGAAGTTTGCAAAGATGTCATTTTTCTTCTCAGATTTAAGTGTTTGTGCTGAGCACAACTGTACTGTATCTAAGCGCCTTTCAAGTTCCCTCTATTGCAACTAGAGGTGCTGTGTTTCCAGCAGCTCTTACGGAGGAGAAATCTTCATGGTTCTTTCCTATCCATGTGAATGATGTATCATCTAATTACATTTAAACTGAGCTTTGGAGGTGTGCTTACAAATGTTTTGAAGTATAAAAGTCAAAGTCAGCTTATCATATAACTGCTTTCCAAGAGAGCTACATGTAGAAGTTTGAGGGTAAATGAAGCTGTTACATTATCTAGTCTATTCCCTTAGTTGTGAAAGGACAGTAGATTTCATACTGCTACTCCTGTATTCATCTCGGCTGACTTACGCTTTGTGTTTAAGATGAAGTTGGGAAATTGCTTTATAGTAGGGCTTGTGTTGCATATAGAGGTTGTAAGTCTTCAAACTGGTTGACATGTACTCTCAGTGACATGTATTTCTGTTGCTGCAAATGCAACATGCTGCTTGCTTGTCATTAGGGGTATGTCTGGGGTTTGGGTGGATTACAGAAATCGTTTAGCAGGAGTTTCTGGACACACAAAGCAGCTGGATGCCTCTGGGGGAGCCTGAAACTTTTATGGCAATGTTTCAGATGACAAGGGCCCCTGAGCTGCAAACCCAAGTTCAGCCTGGGACAGAAGTGCCTCCGAATAAAACGTACTGTTGGCAAATCAGTTTCATCAAGGGGGGTAAGGAAAGAATATCTACAGTTTCTTGTTATACATAACTTTATTGGTGTCATCCCTTCCTGCTATGATCTGAGACTAGGCACTGAAAAGATTCTTCTCTTGAAGGTTCTTGTTTCCTCTCCTTTTAGTGCTGTTCTTGGTTGTGTTTTCATGTGGTCTGCAGTTCTCCCTACCTCCTTCTCTTGTCAGTATTTTATCTCTTCAGGACATTATAATGCTGGTTTAGGAAGACTGTTCTTTTATTCACCCCCCAGTTGTCCTGGGTTTCTGAACCTTTCCTGGTTGGCTTCCTGTGTGGTTGCCAACTAATCAGAACGCTCACAAATTATTAGAAATGTGAAGCTAGAACAAGAGGCTTATTTCTGCTCCTGACTTCTCCTCAGCTTTTGTAGCAACTGAATGCTTGTCTTCATTATGGTTTTGGTTGTGGGTTGCTTTTCCCCCTCTGCTTTCTGACTGGTTTGTTTTTCTTTCAGTTTGGGATGACTGATCTCTGCCTTTTCCATTCATGCCAAAGGCTACTGGTTTTGACCTCTCCTCTTTCCTTCATGCTTGACCAAAGGGTGTCAGATCTCCACTCAGGCCTATGTACTATGACTTTGAATTCAGTTCTTGCTCTTCTTTACCTCATATTCTTAATTCTCTTGGTTTGCCCAATTTATACCACCTTGTGTTTCCTTTCAGCAGAACCTTTTCTCTGAAACCTTGGAGGTGTTTGTTGCTTCACATCTACAAGTTTCTCTTTTTACATTTTATGAAAAGTGCTGGTGCTTGGACTTGAGTTAGTGCCTTGATTTTTATACCATCACTGACACCTTCGTCCAAAATCATCACCTCAGTCAACAAACCTGGTTAAGAACTATCCAGTTTGTCTACTTCTTTTGCTCTACCTCATTATTAAACTATTCCTCCTCTGTTCTCATGGTTGTCTCATCTGTGGAGTTAGTTAAAAGTCTCTCTTCCAATTTAGATTTAATCACTTATTTGGTGGTTGTTTCCTACTTCCTGATCCACCTCTTACTATTTCCAAGCTGCTTCCTAAATACAGCCTCTTCAGCAACTTCAGATCTTCCAAAGTGTCTTCCTTTTCCCTGCTTTCTCTCACATTGTATCTTTTTAAAGTCTGTTGTCAAAGTGCTAGTTTATGAATTTTCTCTTTCATGCATAACATTTGTGATTTAGTCTCTTTCAAGCATCATGATCGTGACTAAGGAAGCGATCCTGTACGTGTGTCACTTGCGTGTTTAATACTTCAGCTGAAGTTGCTCTTTAAATAAAATCGAATGTGATGTTCTGAAGTGAAGTCGTCTACCTCACTGAAGTCTGTTTATGAAAAAAGAAGTCAGCCCTTGGAAGCAAACAAGTTTGATTAATTTATTGATTGTTTCTGGTTATTTATTTCCACGTTTTTCCTCTTCCAAACTCGGCATAAAAATCCAGGTTCAAAAAGCTGTCTGCTTCTAGCAGTTCCTCTCTTGCTGCAGCGTCATGGAGATATGTGAGCATACACACCTTGAGTCATTGTGCTAAAGAATGGAGAGTAGGAGCAGGAGGTTGTCTTAAGAAAGAGCAAGCTGTGTGAGAGTGAAAAAGCTTTGGGCCAAGTATAAGAACCTCAGGAAAGGATCCCAGTCCTGGTTGCAACCTGTCCAGTGTTTTAGGACATTGTTCAGCCTGGTCATAGGTGATGTCACAGGTCCATCTCATGGTGTCGTCATGTGTCTTTCCATTGCCAGCACAGTTCAGTAGAGAGCCAAGTCTCATGGTTATGTTAAGAGTGATTTTATTTGTATGGTGATATAATCCTAGGGATTGCAGATGGTGTGAAAGGGGTTTTTATGGAATCACAGCATAAAACCTTGCTGTGCCATGGGGTTGCAGGGAGCTGGTAGGGAAAATCAGGCTGAGAGCTGCTGTGTTAGTCGTGGTTGTGGGTATCTTGGCTGGGATAACTTCTTGGGGAAACCTCTTGCACCTCTTTATTTTTACTGAACACATCTTAAACAGGGCTGTGGCAGTAGAATGGAGAAGGTCAAAGGAAAAGGAGCTTGTAAAAGGTGTGGGTTTAGTGGCACCTCTCCACTGACTTCTCCAGCTTGTTAATTGCCTGGAAGTTGTTCGGGGCTGTTTTCTGCTTAGTGACAGGTATTTGGCATGTCCTCACCAGGTGATTACTTGAAGTAGCCAGCGAGAACTGTTTTCCATCTGCTTCTTGTCCTTCAGTTTCTGGATTTGCTGTTTCTGATGCAGCTTTCCCTTCTGCATCATTTGGAAGCAGGGCAAGGTCTCTCAGCAGGAGTAGGCTTGACTGCCCACTGGTCTCTTTTTTCCCTTTTATAATAAGAAATATTATACCCTGTCTAGTTTTGTATCCAGATCGCCTTTAGCTGTTCTTGGTTTTCATACTGTTCTCTGCGGACTTCTGGAATTATTTGTTCAGAAGAATTGTGTATCTTGGACTGATTGGAGTAAACTGATTTGGGGGTTTTTAATATTTTTACTTACTTTCTTTGCTAGGTTTGCTTAGTTTGCTGTTGCAGTCACCTGCTTGCACCTACAAATCACTGTGGGTGAAGAAACGGCCAGAAAAAAAGCAGCAGAGAAAAAAGGTATCTAATTTTTGTTGAAGCCAGCATCCTGCCCAACATGCTGTCCACACTTACTGTTTCTATTGCTTGCCAGCACTGACATAAGTGGGACGGATGGAAACAATGATTTCATCCAGAATCTTGAAAGAAAATGGAAAGGCAGCAGGGACAGCAAACTGAAAACACTCAGTTTCTGAAGATGTGTATCCCCAGGTAAATTTCTTGCCTTTGATTAAACAGGTCAGAATTATAATGACTATCTTAAATTACAAGCTCTGCAACTGGGTAAAGTTGGAAGGCACAGTGCTACACCCTGTCAGAGGCAATGCAGCAACAGTAGCAGTAATGCTGATTGCTTCAGCCAGGCAAGCTCTTTCCTTAGAAGCTGTTGATTTCTATGCAAGTGTCTGCCTCAGAGCATAACTGCAAAATACTGCAGATTAATAAATTAATGTTTAAAATTCATGATTAAAATTAATGCTCTTTCTCCTGCCTGCGTTGCAAAGTGTAAGACATAAACACTGAAACATGCATCTTCTGCATCCCAGAACTGTTTCAGTTCATGCTTTTGCTTCTTGACATTGGCTTAAAAATCTGAAGTTTATACTGTAGCAATCCTAAAACAGTCTTTGTTGTAACAGAATTTATGAAATTCTTATTGTAATTACGATACTACAAACCAAAAATATCCATTCCCCTGGCTATTATGAAGATACACAAATAGAAACGTATGAAGCCACAGCTGGAAGAAGAGATGGTAAATACTTCCCTTTTAGTGAAGGAAGGTGATCCTTCATTAGAAGGAGTAGTTACTTCTTCACTGAAGAAGTAATTTCCGAGGTAATTCTCCCGGTTTGCAGGTGTGACGGTAGGTGAATTAAACATGCACAAGGTGCGAGCTGAAAGATGCGTGGCTCAGTTTGCAGACTTGAGTATCAACAGTCTGACTTTACAATGAGAGTTTCTAGAGAAGGAACAGTTTACAGCCCTAACATCTGTGGCATTAGCTCCATGCAGAGCTTTCTTGTTGCTATTATCCTTGCTCATAAGGAGATAAATACAGGGGATTTTGTATTTATTCTTGTGTTTATTCTTGTGCTGCCCTGTACAATGTTTTTCAAGGTGTACATAGTGGAGAGATCTGACTTAGGTGGACAGAGGAAGAGAGGGGCGACCGCTTGCAATAAGAACCCAAGGGCTGAGACCTAAAATCTAAGCAGTATCCTTCTGTCTAATGAGCTATAAATCTAGCAAAGGAAGATAGAGTCCAAGCTGAGCTTTATTTTTCAGTTTACCAAAAATACTAATACCCTGGTTGGGTATACTTGGACCAAAAGAGAAGAATGCACTCACATTTTCATTGAGAGTCTTTAACTCTGTCAGATGTTTTTCCAGTAGTGCCTGTCTCACCTTCAGATAAATATTATTATGTTTTTTTGAAGTCCTGTTCTGTTCACGTAGCCAGTAATATGCATTTCGCATTCAAAAGGTGCTTTTTGAAGTGAGTGTCATTAGAAGGACACCTGTTTTCAGGAGGTTACATGTAGTCTTCTGTGCTGATTTATAAAACACTTTGTAAGACATCACAGCTTTTTCTGTCAGGAGTTGTCCATGTATCTGCAGGACAAACATCAGCTGTTAATGACAGAAATGTGAAGTAAAACCTCACTATTGAAGAGCACCTTTTGCTGCTATTTTTTACCCATTAGCAGCCTGGGCAATAAAAAACTGAGGCCACTTGGGAAGAACTAGGCATGTGTGAGGGTCCCCCTCCAGGTGGGCACTGCAGGGTCAGTGTGCTTGAGAGAAACTTTTCTTGATGGAAAGGAATGTGCATAATCTACTGTAAGTATAACATGGACCTCTGTACATTTCCCCAGCTCTAGGCTTTCATGGCATGCTGAAAGGAGAGGAGAGAGGAATTACTTTACTTTGTGATAACTCCTTGGAGTGTGAGGGTGCTTTCCAGCCTGTACCCTCTTGTCATGCTTTGGCCAGCACTGGGCAGTTGTGCTCTGCAGGTGAAGGAGGAGTTGCAGAGACAGTTCTGGAGTGCAGCATCCGTTATGCTGTGAGTGCTTCACAGTACAACTGTACCCCAGGGGTCTCTGCCAGACTCCATCCCTAATAACTGACACGTTTCATCCTGCCTCTAAAACTTGGCAGAGGAAACCCAGTGGGAGAAAAAACAAGTAAGCAAATTTTCCCTTTTGAGGCAGGGATGGTGAAAGGCTTGGTTATCCTTGTTAGCTTCCTGGGGGTGCAGGCAAAAGGCCTACCTTAGTGGAGAAGTGTCAGAGATGGCTTGTCTCATGATGTTTACAAGTCCTTTTAGATGTCACTGTAAGTGCTCTTGCTTTTAGCTGGTAGAAGTGAAGGCCTGTCAGGGAAGGAAAATGCCTTCTGATGTTTCTGGGTAACTATTTTATTAGCTGCTAGCTTCATAGTATACACTTGGATGACTTAGCTGAAGAAAATTAGTACACCTGAGACTTTCAGTCAGTCTTGTATTCGTTTAGAATGAAAAGTAGTTTGATCAGCTTGTGTAAAAACATATCCATCCTTTTTTCCTCTCAAAAGATCAGTGCTCTCCCTCAGGAAAGAAATGAAAGCTGCTCCTGCTTCTATAGCGATTGCTTCTGATTTCCAGAGCTTCAGAGCAAAGTGCAGCTGTGTCATTGTATCTTCAGTGTGACACATCATTCTGAGGTGAGAAAATGAGAGAAGCGTTTGGTTTCTTTAAAACTGCAATGGGCATTAAGAGGGGAGCAGTTGTGTTGACCCCTCTTCAAACGGGGCACGCATCCACTGCAGTCGCATGGACTGGGACTTGGTAACCAGTTAGTCATCTATAAAACTTCCTTAATGAATCACAGAGGAGCAGCGTGACCTACCACACTGACATGGGACAAATTCCCATCTCTCTACTGCCACTTGCTCACTGAAAGGCCTTGGCAAGCCACTTCCTTCCCTTTCCCTCGTGCTCTGCAGCTGGAACCCATCTGAGAGCAATCCTTACCCTACAGGGATTCGGGGAAGTGGCGAGTGCTACATAAGTGCTAAGTATTGCTACTAAAACTATAATGTGTCAGGTAACGCAGATACATACATCATCTGCCCTCTTCAGGCACTTGACTGTTAGCCTTAAGTCTCGGCACACTGAAAACATGCAGGATATCAGGTACAATGACACCCTTCAGTCCTGAAATTACTTGTGTCTTCAAGGTCAGATTTGGTGACTTCAATATCTGTTTCACAGCTGCAATACCACGTTTTGGCCAAATAGTGATAAATAAGAGTGTAACTTGTTTGTAATTCCTTCTCTGTCTTCCTAAATATTTTGTTTCTTGGGAAGCTGATGCTGCTATGAACACATTGAATTTGCAGCATTCTGCTTTCCAGATGTAAATGTTTATATTTAAAATTGCCAAGACTGCAATGCAATAAATATATCCCTATAACTGTTTGCTTCAAAGCATGGTTTTTTTTCTGTGCTCTGTCAATATACAGTGATGAAGCTGCTACTGCAGCATTTAGGACAGATGCTGGGATGTGGAGACTGCCAGGTTTAAATGTAGCACTGCTGCCTACTCCCATGACTGGGGGGAAACCAGTCACTTGTGTGTTCAAAAGTGTGTTAATCTATAAAATAAGATCATTATACATGTCCTTTAGAGGGGCAGAGGGGAGGTGAACTTCATGTTGAATGTGAGAACTGTTGGCCTGATAACTCCAAGGTCTGTTACCTTAGAGTGTTGTCTTCTGCTGTGCCATCAGGAGATGGTTTTCCAGGCATCAGGGAGATCCAGAGCCAGCATCCAAGCGTCCTGCCCAGCATGTGCTTTGCCAGCAGGGAACCTGACTTCCAGGAACCTTTTCATTCCCATGGTAAATGATGCAGATGTATTTGGATCAGAGATGGATGTAGCTTGCTGGAGATGGTAACATACCCATGCTCTGGAATTAAGATGTTTTCTAAAAGGATTAATTCCCATTGCAGCCCGGGAGCTGTTTAAAGAGAGCAAAATCTGTGGTTTAAAGGCAGGAGGGGCAGTATGAGGATGAATGTAATGAGGAGGATCAGAGAGAGAACTCACAGAAGAGGTCTGCAACCCATTGACTTTCATTTGCATTTTAAAAGTGCTGTACACTGGGAGTCTGCCCTGTCTTCCATGTGTACGATGTTTCCCTGGTGTCTTACAAGATGATTTACAATCAGTGTGGCAGTAAACTCTTACTCCTTTGGATTGCAGTTGTGTCTGTTTAATTTGCAAGTCCAGAGGACATGAGTTTTCCTTTGATATTCATGCAGGTGCTTAAGGGTGTGTGCTCAGACACCTGCCTAAATTGGAAGTCAAAGCTGTCGATTAAACTGCAACAGTTGTACTCACAAGCTGTTGGGGAAACAAGTCCTGTACTGCCACAGAAAAAAAGCCTTTCCTGAGATTTTCTCATTGTGTTTTAGTTCATTTTTTATATATATATGTATATATATATATTTATTTATAAGCACTGACTTCTAGTGTGGGAAAGTCTGTGAAAACACGGTGCCACGTCAATTAGAAGCTTCTGTGTCCTATGCTGATGCAGTAGATTGGAGAAATTTGGCCCTTCTTGTGCTGCTGGGGGTGAAGGCTGATGGCCAGGGTAGCTCCTAGTGGGTGTGAAGAGCTCACTCACCCACTCCACCAGGCTGTAGTAATGTCTTATATTGCTCCACCTGCTCGTAAAGCAAAGAGCTCTGCTCTGGCAAGTAACTGTGTGGGTTTTTCTGCATGCAGGTGACACATCTGAGTGTGTTTAAGCAGATGTTCTGATGGCCCAGGAGAGTATTGCTCAAATTAAGGAAAGATGATTGCTGGAGTGGGGAGGAAAAGTCACAGATTGCAGAGTTGATTTTAGTGCTTTCTTGGTGTTCTATAGAGCTTTCTCCTCATCTTCCTGATGTTATTCTGTCCCTGTTTTGAGAGGAGAATTGAAATTCTTAGAGAAAACACAGGGGAGGAGACATCCTCCTGTCTGTGGGAAGTTACACCTGTTCTAGCAATTAACCCCCCCCCCCAGCATTATCAAATGTTGCCTGAATTCTCTCAACAATTCTCAACTTGGAGTTGTATCTCCTTGCTGTGAATGATTTATTAGCCCAAACAGCAGCTTGTTCCCCACAGTTTCTTATGAGCCTGGGAGATCTCACTCATCTTGGTGTTTACAAGTCTGTCCATAACACAGACCAGCGCTTAGGTTTGAGTGTCAGGTTTTCCACAGCTTTGCAGTCCTCAACAACTTGAACACGACAGTGTGTAGGAAATGAAGTTTTAATGATTCAGGTAAGTACGTTGGTGGTTCCCATGTTTGTTTTATGGGTCAGTTTGGGTGATACTGAGCAAGTATCTGAATAATTAAATTGGAATCATAGAATGGTTTGGGTTGGAAAGGACCTTAAGATCATCCAGTTCCAACCCCCCTGCCATGGGCAGGGATACCTCACACTAGACCATGTCACCCAAGGCTCTATCCAAGCTGGCCTTGAGCACTGCCAGGGATGGAGCATTCACCAGTTATTTGGTCAACCTGTTCGAGTGCCTCACCACTGGAATCATTATATCCACTGTCAGTTCACTCAGAACCCTAAATTGAAGAGCACCACATGGCAGTGATAACTGTGATTGCACCGCTCTGCCTTGGATCTGCTGGAACTTGGTGCAGTGTTTGTGAAGCTCTTCCAAGATAACTGCATCCGTTTCCTTCACCACCCTGGGCAGAGGAGGCAGCTTGCCACAGGAAGAGGTAATTGTTTGCATCCTGATGGCTGCTGTGAGGATCGTGCTCTGTGTGTCCCTGCCTCTGTGCTGCCCCGTGCTTGGGAAGTGGAGGATGCTGAGGTAAGGCCCTGTGTGTCCTCTCTAACAGCTGTGTCTTGCTCCATGCAGGGCCTACACAGATCTTGCTTTGAGGGAATCCTACTGCTGTGTATGCAGGTCCTTTCTGAAGGTGGGGTTGGAAGAGTGAATAGGTAGATCTTTTGTATGTGCAAAATGACCTGTGCCAACGCCCAGAGGCTTTTACAGTTTCGTGTTGATGCTCTGGCCTCCTCTGGGACAGCTCCAGATCCCTCAGACCCTGTTCTGCTGCTGCCAGTCTGAAACAGCGGAGGACCCAGCCCCAGTGCTCTGTGTGAGGAAGCTCGAGGCAGGAGATGGATGGGCACAGTGGGGATTGAGGTGTGTTCCTGTTCTGTCTGGGGGTCCTCTTCTTTGGGAAAGCATTGGGGAAACTTTGAAGGTACTGGACTTGTCTCTTCCATGGGCACTAAATGCTCAAAAGCAGTTGTCCAAAGAATCCCCTATGTGTGACAGCCTTTCAGGCTGCTTTCTTCACCTGGGAGTCTTGGCCAGATCGTAGAATCCCAGACTGGGTTGTGTTGGAAGGGACCTTAAAGCTCACCCAGTTCCAACCCCTGCCACAGGCAGGGACCCCTTCCACTAGAGCAGCTTGCTCCAAGCCCCTGTGTCCAACCTGGCCTTGAACACTGCCAGGGATGGGGCAGCCACAGCTTCTCTGGGCACCCTGTGCCAGCGCCTCAGCACCCTCACAGGGAGGAGCTTCTGCCTAAGAGCTCATCTCAGTCTCCCCTCTGTCAGGTTAAAGCCATTCCCCTTGGCCTGTCCCTACAGGCCCTTGTCCCAAGCCCCTCTCCAGCTTTCCTGGAGCCCCTTCAGGCACTGGAGCTGCTCTCAGGTCTCCCCTTCAGGAGCCTTCTCTTCTCCAGGCTGACCCAGCCCAGCTCTCTCAGCCTGGCTCCAGAGCAGAGCTGCTCCAGCCCTCCTAGCACCCCCATGGCCCCCTCGAAGACCCCCCCGCAGGTTATGGGTGATGCCGGGCGCGCTCTGCCGGGCCCTGCGCCTGCTCTGAGCAGCAGAAAACCGCTGCCGCTCCCCGGGGGAGCGATGGGAGCGCCCCGAGCGGAGCTCGGCCGTGCGGGGCCGGGCTCTGCGCTGAGCCCCGGAGCTCGCCCCTTCCCTCCGCTTCCACGAGGTGGCAGTAGAAGGAAGGGAAACGCGTGGCAGCAGCGTTCCGCAGGACGTCAGTCTGGAAGGGACCCCGGCTCATCCGCTCCAACCGTTCTAGGCAAGGCATGACCTAGAGCAGATGTCCCAGCACCCTGCCCTGCCGAATCTTAGACGTGTCCGGTGTTGGGGAGTTCACCACTTCCCTGGCAGGTTATTCCGATGGCTGTTACTGTGGACAAATTTTCCTCCTGTGTCCAATCGGAATCTCCCCAGGATTAACTCGTACCCATCACCCTTCGTCTTTTCCATGTGACCCCTGTAAAAAGGAGTTATCGTCTTTGTGGCCACCCTTTACATACTGAACATGGTGATAGTCACCCCTGAGCCTCCTTTCCTTAAGGCTGAACAAGCTTAGATCTCTGTCTCTCCTCCTGTGTCTTCCGAGCAGGTGAAACACCACCGGATCTGTCACAGGGGCTGTGCAGACACAAGCCTGAAGGCTTTGCTGAGAAGCAGCCCCTAGCAGAGGGGACCATTGCTGGACCAAGCTGCAGGAGCAGCAGCGTGGCTCCCAGGTAACACTGTCTGTGTATTAGAGTAGCAGGAGCCCTGTAGCCGTCCAATGTGGATGATGGCCATGGGTGGTAGAAGTGTTGGCTGTGGGAGGAGAGCAGGATCTGCTTGATGATGGGTGTACTAGAGCATGGCTGGAATAGTGACCGCTAGCAGATGCTGCCCAGGCTGTAAAACAGTGCTCCGTGGGTATCCACATGTTGTCATGTATTTACAGGCAGAAATCATGTACAATTTATGCATGATGCTGAGGAATAAATCATTTAAAGTAATATGCTTTGGGTATATGCTTCTGTGCTAGAGCTCTCTGTCAATGCACCAGCTTTGGAGAAGGAAACAGCCCCTTTTCTGTTCTGCTGTTTTTGGGGATGAGGCTCAGGTGCAGTAAGTTTTACTCGTCAGAGCACGGTCAATGGAACAATCGTGACGTTTTGATCCGGAAAAGGATGTGAGAGTTTGAGGGGTAAGACTGATGCTATTGTGCCAATGGCATAGAGCAGCAGGAAGGATGGCAAACAGGATAGCGATACTGTGCCAGATGGAATGGTGCTCTGGCTGTAGAGCCTGGAATCAGGTGTGATCTGCATTGCCAGCCTGAACCAGGTCCTTGATGTAACTTGCCCTAAAAGCAGCCCAGTGGTGTGACTTGGAATCAGCTCCTGTCTCTTCCAGCTCACCATTGGCATTCAGGGTGTTGCTTGCACTGTAGTAATGTTTGCCTGCACATAGTCTAGTTTACAACAGTGCTTTGCATTGGGTTTGCCCACCCTCCTCATGTGCTGACACTTTTATACTAGTGAGATAGTATTAATGAATTCATTGTAAAAGCAGCCGTGTGCTTGTTGTTCCTTGTTGGGTCAGGGTGCTCTGAAATCCCCCATTCCTCAGTTTGCCGTTGTAACTAAAAACACAGGCCCCTAGAAGAGGCTTGTGCTGTCTTTGACTATTCAAGACATGGCAAATGTTAGTGCAGCAGAGTGTGAATCGCTTGCAGAAAGCCATCCTCTGTCCTGGCCTCACATCTATTACCAAGTGTAAACTCATGAACAAAGAGCTGGTGTTTGCCACAGTATCCAGGGTAAGGGCTTTCAGAAAGTGCTGCAGGCTGACAAGGGAAGATTGCAAGAGGCTGCAGCCCCTGACCTCAATAAAGGCTTCAAAGGAAGCTCCTGAAAAATTGTTTTTGCAGCACAAAAAGAGAACTCCTCTTGGTAAAGCAGCAGCCAGTGCACTTTTAATAGCTGAAACCACGTCAGGGCTTCTGCTGACTGGGTAGAAACGACATATTTACTTTGCATGTAGGTGCTGTTCTGTAATGTCTTTTTTTGCTCCATTAAGAAGAGGACTTGATGCTCACAAGATGAAGAGATGAAGGTACCGGCTGACCCCCCCACTGCAGCGACCGAGGGAAGGAGGAGCTGGGGAGCAAGAGCCAAGTGAGTGCTGGTTCCTGGGGTGGGCTGGGGTGCTGGAGTCCCAGTGCCCAGAGAGAGAGGAGACCCTGAGGAGCTCCTCACCAGCTCAGCCACCTTCCTCCGCGGTGCCCCTGGCTGTCCCTGCAGTGGGAGCACACAGGCAAGGCAGGGGGGCTGAGCCGGCCCAGGGCTGTGCAGTGCCGCTCGTACAGCGGGTGTGCTGCTTGCTTGGCCCTGGCCACAGCTT